GTCATCCGCATACATGTGGAAGTTAACCCCATGTCTGCGGATGATGTCACCAAGGGGGAGCATGTAGAGGGTGAAGAGGAGGGGACCGAGGACAGACCCTTGAGGGACACCGCACAAGACAGTGCGGGGGGTGGAGGAAAAACCATTCGTGGAAACAAAGTGAAGAGGGTGGGAGAGGTACGACCTAAACCACTCAAGGACAGGGCCTTGAAGGTTGAGGTAGGAGGACAAGCGGTGGAGGAGGATAACGTGGTCGACCGTATCGAATGCTGCCGATAGGTCGAGGAGGACGAGGAGGCAGAGGGAGCCCTGGTCACAGATGGTCAGGATGTTATTGGCGACCTTGACCAGGGCAGTTTCTGTGCTATGGGTAGCACGGAAACCCGACTGAAGGGGTTCGAATAATGAATGGGTGGAGAGGAAAGAGTGCAGCTGGGAGGCGACAACTCGTTCCAGGACCTTGGACAGGAAGGGAAGGTTGGAGATGGGCCGGTAGCTTGAAAGGAGTAGACAGACATTTCTGTAAACAAAAACATGATTCTTGCATGGTATGTTGCCTCCCTCGTGCCAGGGTTGAAGATATCACGGAATGGGTGCAAAACATTCTACAGGGGGAGGGAGAACATCCAGAAGTCGTGGTCCATGTTGGGATCCGTGGCGTAGGGGAAAAAAAGGGCAGAGATGCTACAGGGAGAATATCAGAAGCGAGGGAAAAAACTAAAGAGTAGGACCTCAAAGGTGGTGATCTCTGGATTACTCCCAGTGCCTCAGGCAAGTGAATATCAAAACAGCAGGATCAAACACACAAATTCATGGCTGGAGAAATGGTGCAGAAAGGGGGCTTCAGGTTCCTGGAACATTGTGACCAGTTATGTGGCACGTGGGACCTGAAAAGGTTTCACCTGAACAGGGCTGGGACCAACATCCTCGCAGGGAGTGCTGTGAGGAAGGGTTTAAACTAATTTTGAGGGGAAAAGGGAATCAGGATGCAGCATTATAGAGGACAAGCAAATTACATAGAGGGCTGGGAGAGACAAATAGCAATGTAATAAGGAGTAATCCAGAAAAAGGGTTTAGACGGGGGAGAAATGCAGAGCAGGCGCAGTTGGTCTTGGAGTGCATGTGCGTAAATGCACGGAGTGTGACAGATAAGTTTGGGGAGCTGCAGGCTCAAGTTGCCACATGGGGTTATGATATAGTGGCAATTACGGAGACCTGGCTCAAACAAGGGCAGGAATGGAAGCTGAATATTCCTGGTTACAACGTTTTCAGAAGGGATAGGAAAGGAAAAAAAGGAGGGGGTGGCAATATTGATGAAAGACACGGTTTAACAGAATCTATTTGGTTAGAGTTAAGGAACAGAAAAGGAGCTGTTACTCTGTTAGGTGTATACTAACAAATAGTGGGGAGGAGATAGATGAGCAAATCTGCAAGCAAATTTCAGAAAGATGCAAAACCAATAGAGTAGTGATAATGGGGGACTTTAATTATCCTGACATAGACTGGCAAAATAACAGTATAAAGGGCAAGGAGTGGGAAGGATTCTTGAAATGTGTGCAGGATAACATTCTGGATCAGTATGTTTGCAGCCCAACGAGGAAGGAAGCAGTGCTGGATCTAGTTCTGGGGAATGAAGTGGGGCAAGTGGAACAGGTTTCAGTAGGAGAGCATCTGGACGACAGTGATCACAACATCATTAGGTTTAGAGTCCTTATGGAAAGGGACAAGGAGCAATCAAAGGTGAAGATACTCTGCTGGAAGAGAGTATTTCAGTGAGTTATAATAATCCTTGCATTTGATATAACGCTTTTCACGTCTTCTAGACATCTCAAAGCGCTTCACAGAATATACTGTAAAGTGAATTGACCGTATATTTGTGGGCGAAACGTGGCAGCCAATTGCACACAGCAGCGTCCCACAAACAGCCGTGGATTGAAAGTTACCAATTTATTATTGTTTTGGAGGGATTATTATCAAAGTTAAAAAGGGACCTAACTGGGTGACTTATCTACCTTGAGCACTGACAACCTTTTTAGTACCTCCTCTCGGTTTATTCTTATCTTATCCAATTTCTCTAGCCTCTCCTCCGATACTGTGGCATTGGCTGCATCTTCTTTTGTGAAGGCAGATGCAAAGTACTCATTCAGTATATCAGCCACGCCCCCTGCCTCCCGAAGAAGATTTCCTCTTTCCCTAGTTGGACCCATTCTACCTTTGACTAAGGTTTTATTGTTTACTACTAAAAAGGTTGTCGATGCTCAAGGTAGATAAGACATCTGGTCTGGATGGGATGCATCCTAGGTTACTGAGGGTAGTAAGGGTGGAAATAACAGTGGCTCTGGCAACAATCTTTCAATCCTCCTTGGACCCTCGGGTGGTGTCAGCGGACTGGAGGGTTGCAATTGTTATTCCCCCGTACAAAAAGGGGCAGAAGGATAAACCCGGGAACTACAGGCCAGTCAGCCTAACGTCAGTAGTGGGGAAACTTCTAGAGACTATAATCCGAGACAAAATAAATTTTCACTTAGAAAAATATGAGTTAATAAAGGACAGCCAACACGGATTTGTTAAAGGCAAATCATGTCTAACAAACCTGATAGTTTTTTGAAGTAACAAAGAGGGTGGATGAAGGTAGTTCAGTTGATGTAGTTTATGTGAATTTTCAAAAGGCGTTTGATAAAGTGCCATATAAGAGACTTGTAAGCAAAATAGAATCTCACGGTATTAAAGGGTCAGTGGCAGCATGGATACAGAGCTGGCAGAACTGCTGTTTTTGATCTATATAAATGACCTGGACTTGGGTAAAGGGAGTACAATTTCCAAGTTTGCAGATGATACAAAGCTAGGAAAAGTAGTAATCAGTGAGGAGGATAGTAGCAGACTGCAAATGAATAGAGACAGACTGGTAAAATGAGCAGACACATGGCAGACGTGGAGAAATGCGAATTGATATAATAATAATATAATAATCCTTGAATTTGATATAACGCTTTTCATGTCTTCTTGACATCTCAAAGCGCTTCACAGAATAGACTGTAAAGTGAATTGACTATATTTGTGCGTGAAGCCAGGCAGCCAATTGCGCACAGCAGTGTCCCACAAACAGTCGTGGATTGAAAATGACCAATTTATTATCGTTTTTGGTTTTGGAAGGATTATTATTAGGCATGTGGAGTAAGGAAACTTGCCCAAGGTTTTGCCCTGCCGGGAATTGAACCCAGGTCTCTTGCTTGAGAGGCGAGCGATCTAACCACTGAGCTACAGGACTCCACAATTGATGCATTTTGAAAGGAAGAATGAGGAGAGGCAATATAAGCTGATGGTAGAATCTTAATGTTGGTGAAGGAACAGAGAGACCTGGGGCTTCATATAAGTAAATCTTTGAAGTGGCAGGACAGGTAGATAAACTTGTTAAAAAAGCATACAGGATACTAGATTTTATAAATTGGGGCATAGAAGGAAGGATATCGAAGCATTGGAGAGGATGCAAAGGAGATTTAACAGGATGGTACCAGGAATAAGGGACTTCAGTTATCAGGAGAAGCTAGTTCCCGGTTTTATCTTTTTGTACAGGGAAATAACATTTGCAAACCTCCAGTCCTCTGGCACCACTCCAGTCCTCTGGCATCTCTGGAGGATTGAAAGATTGTGGCCAGTGCCTCCTTTTATTATAACACAATTTCCTTAGTCATCCAGGGAGATTTGGATGCCCTGACATTTCCCTTTGTGGGAATGTATTTGTTCTGTCCCCAAACTATCTCCTCCTTGAAGGCTTCCCATTGCTCATTAACTGTTTTACCTACCAATCTTTCTTTCCACAGCTAGATCCCTTTTCAATACACTGAAATCAGCCCTCTTCCAGTTGAGTATCTTCATCTTTGATTGTTCCTTGTTTCTTTCCATAAGTAATGATATTGTGATCACTGTTATCTAGATGCTCCCCCACTGAAACGCACTCCACTTGCCCCATTTCATTCCCCAGAACGAGATTCAGCACTGCTTCCTTCCTCGTTGGGCTGGAAACATACTGATCAAGAAAGTGTTCCTGCACACATTTAAGGAATTCTTCCCCCGCCTTGCCCTTTACACAGTTATTTTGACCATCTATGTTAGGATAATTGAAGTCCCCCATTATCACTATTCTATTGATTTTACATCTTTCTGAAATTTGCTCCTCTATCTCTTTCCCACTCTTTGGTGGTCTGCATTATACAGCTAACAGCATAACAACTCCTTTTCTGCTCCTTAACTCTAACCAACTAGATTCTGTTTTTGATCCCTCTAGTACATCGTCCCTGTCCAGGGCTGTAACCGTGTCTATGATCAGTACTGCCACCCCACCCTCCTTTTTTTCCTTCTCTATGCCTCCTGAATACATTGTAGCCTGTTATATTCATCTCCTATTTCTACCCTTGTTTGAGACACATCTCTGTTATTGCCACGACGTCATAACCCCATGTGGCAACTTGAGCCTGCAGCTCACCAATTTTATTTGTCATGCTCCGTGCATTTATGCACATGCACTCCAAAGCCAACTGAGTCTGCTCTGCATTTCCCCCCCATCTAATCCCTCCTTTTTCCGGACTACTCTTTATTGCATTGTTGTTCATCTCTCCTTGGCCTCTATGTAACTTGTTTATCCTCTCTGATTCTACATCCTGGTTCCCTTTCCCCTCAAAATTAGTTTAAAACCTTCCCCACAGAACTAGCTAACCTCCCTGGGAGGGCATTGGTCCCAGCCCTGTTCAGGTGTAACCCATCCACCTTGTCTGTACACCTGCCCCAGGACTGGTCTCAAGGTTCCAGGAATCTGAAGTCCTCATTTCTGTTCCATTTCTCCAAACATGCATTAATGTGTTTTATCCTGCCGTTTATATACTTGCTTACACGAGGCGTTGGTAATAAACCAGAGATCACCACCTTTGAGGTCTTGCTCTTTAGTTTCCTCTCTAACTTCTAAAACTCTCCCTGTAGGATCTCAGCCTTTTTTTCCCTACGTCATGGATCCCAACATGGACTACGACTTCTGGCTGTTCCCTTACCCCGAAGAATGTTTTGCACCCATTCCTTTAAGTCTTCAACCTTCTCACCAGGGAGGCAACATACCATACGAGACTCGTGTCTGCGGTTGCAGAAACGCCTGTGTATCACTTTGACTGTTGTGTCCCCAATGACAACAGCATTAGCATTCTTCCCCTGTGTCCCCCTGTGCATTGATTTGCTTTTGACTGCCCTCTGCAGAAGTGTCGTCACCCTCACTGGTATTCGGTACAGAAAACCGGTTTGTGAGTGTCAGTCTCGGAGGATTTCTGCTCTGCCTGTCTCCTCTCCCTCCTGTGCCGAATAGTCACCAATTCACTCTCCTTCTGAACCCTCTGTGAGTGTGGGGTGACCACCTCCTGAAACATTTGATCCATGAACTCTTCAGTCTCACGTATGCTGTGTAGTGACACCAGCCTCTCCTCGGGCTCAGAAACCCTACATATATGTTTCTCCAGGACATATAAAGCATCCTGGAGTTCCCACATGGCATACAATGTGCATGCAACGGGTTTTAGCCGCCCTGTCATATTCCCAGACATTTTTTATATTAATTATTTAATAATTATGCTCCTCCCTGCCCCTCTGCACCTAATTTCCACTCATCAAATTCCTGCACACAATTCTCTGTCTTCTTCCTTACTCAGTTATCTCCTCACGCTGCTGGGCTCTGTCATATTTCTTCTTCTTTTAATCCCACTATAATAATAATAATCCTTGCATTTGATATAGTGACTTATCATGTCGTTGAAACGTCTCAAAGCGCATCACAGAATATATTGTATTTTGTAGGTGAATCACGGCTGCCAATAACGCACAGCAGTATCCCACAAACAGTCGTGGATTGACAATTTTTTTCTGGAGGGATTATTACCCTGGAAAGCAAAACTATAACCTACACCCCCACCACCAATTATCCTTTATAAATTGTGGTCACCTCCAATACTATTCCCTTATTTGATGATATAGCTATTATCACACAGCGATTTGTTGGGATCTGGAAAGCATTGCCTGAAAAGGTGGTGGAAGCAGATTTGATAACAACTTTTAAGAGAGAAGTAGATGATTATTTGGGGAGGACAAGTTTGCAGTGCTATGGGGAGAGAGCGGGGTAGTGGGATTGATTTGGATTGCTCTTATGAGCCGGCACAGACACAATGGGCTGAATGGCCTCCTTCTGTGCTTGTATAATTCTATGATTATGTCTTGTTACAGATGAGAGTAACAGATCCAACAGTTAGTTTCTTCCCCTTAATGTTGTTTACCTAGATGATTATACATTAGGTGGCTATGTATTTCCATAGCTTCCAGTTTAGACTTGGTACCACATTTTGATTAACTGCCCCTGAACAAATTTTTTTTGGTGGCTTGTAACAATTTCTGTAGCAACTATATTACCCAATACTTGGACATGTGTTTTGATTCTCTTTTTCCAGAATGTTTTGGAAGGCCCTGAGATAAAGCGGCATTTGCTAAATCGGTCAGGCCAGCATCACTTCACGCCACAAGGCAAGTATCTGGCCATTGGTGTTTAAAAATAATAATCATCCTTGAAGTTGATACAGCACCTTGTCATGCCATTGTCTTAGGGAGCTTCACAGGATTGATGGTGACATATTAGAGGTTTGTGGTTTTATCAAGAAGGAGCAGGGTGAATTCCCTTCTTGCAAGGAGTGTGATCAACACATTCTGGCTTGATATGAGATATATCATGAGGTTCAGGGGAAACCTACTTACCGTCTTATCTCAAACTTGCCCTTCACCTGGAGCATGTTGTTGCCACCTAACTTGGCTCACACCACTCCCTACTCAAGTCTGGTTTCTGCAATGCACTTTTACCATCTTGGCAATCCACTTGGCTATCCTGTGGAATATGATGGTGGGTGCCCCAAGTGCAGAATTATGGCTCAAGAAGAGAGGTATTGATTAAAAGGAGCATCAGTCCCAATCGTTGATTTTTAATCAATATCTGGGTGTTGTGGTGTATACCAACCTTTGCTTGGATGTATAAGGTTTGCATTAAAACAGCATTGGACTTTGGACATTGAGAACATCAAGTAGGTTGCACGCCACAAAAAGGTCCTCCCATCATACTGAAGGCAGAGTGCCAACAGCTGTTGAGGAAACTCTGAAGCTTTGGAATGACAGCTGCTGCAAGATGTTATCTGGACTCCAAGTTTGTGAACACGTGTTGGAACATAGGCTTGGAATCCACCCTAATTGGCTTGCAGGGAGGTAAGCAGCCGCTGCTCAAGCTCTGCAACTCCAAGTGGTGGAACCATCGCTCCATGGGTAGGAATGCTCTCACACATTTCATGCTAAGCTGTGCTGCCCACCACAAAGCTGGCAGGGAGTTCCTGGTACCTGTCATCCACTAAGTGAGGGCCCACACTTGGTCTTGACCAACTAAATACTATCCTCCTTGGGGGGGAGGTAAGCGGGGTCTCCTTGGACCCGAAGAAGCAGGCTTGGTAGACTGGTTCCTGAACTAGGGAAATCTGTAGTACTCCAGGACGCTGCTGATTAGAGACTAGCCCACCTGGCTCATCGGCAGGACTTAAATAATAATAATAATCCTTACGTTTGATATAGCCACTTATCAAGTTTTTGATATGTCTCAAAGCGCTTCACAGATTACACTGTAAACAACAACAAAATTACATTTATATAGCGCCTTTCACGTCGGGAGGACGTGCCAAGGAGCTGAACAGACAGAGTTATGGACCCGAGCTGAGGGTTGGGGTGCGGGAGGGTGGAGGGCAGGAGGGGAAGCAGGGAGATCGGAAGCATGGTTGAAGAGGAGGGTTTGAGGTGGGTCTTGAAGGAGGGGGGGCGAGACAACAACAACAAAATTACATTTATAGAGCACGTTTCACGTCGGGAGGATGTCCCAAAGCTCTGAACAGTTAGGTTTGAGACGGAGGGACTGCGGGATGGAGTTCCAGAGGGTGGGTGCAGAGTGGTGGAAGGCGTGCCCACTGATAGAGGGGCGAGCAAAGTGGGGGATGTGAATTGACTGTGTATTTTGTGGGCGAAACACAGCAGCTAATTGCATACAGCAGTGTCCCACAAACAGTCATGGATTGAGTGACCATATTATTATTTTTTTGAAGGGATTATTATCCCCGGAATGCGATCTGCCAATTGGCTAACAACCAGGTTCCTACTTACTGCTAGGTAAATGAGCCGTGAGAAGTAAGGAAACGTGCTTACAAATGTTTTGCCTCGCTCGGAAATCAAATCCACGTCCTCTTGCTTGCCAGGCGAGTGCTCGAACAACTACGCTACAGGACTCCACAAAGGAGGTAGACCAGCTGACCGACCAAAAAAAAAAAAGCAGCGGAAGCTGTGTTATCTCTGTGCTTTCATATCATTAAACTTCAACAGAACTACAATACCACTCTGGAGTCCACAAGCCTTGCCGTTTGCCAACCTGTGCTCACATTCCAGAATTATGTAAGCAGGATGCATGATTCCGGGGGAAGAGACTGCACATTCCATTTCAGACAGGAAAACTTCAATATGCAGGTGTAATACATATGAGCAGGAGCCGGACAACCCGACTCCCTAGGCAAACCTCAGTATGCCACATCCCTTCTGTGGCAGCCTTAGAAGTTCGATAGATTTAGCTTAAAAGAGATGAATTTACCTACAACAAAAACTTGGATTTATATAGCACCCTCCACGCCAGACGGCGTCTCAGAGAGATTCACAGTGAAGGATCCCGGGGCCGAGCCAGGGGGAGGGGGAGGAAGGTGACCAAAGGCGCTGTGGAAAAGAAAGGTCTTCAGCAGAGACCTGAAGATAGGAAGAGAGGGGGCGAGGCGAAGGGAGTGAGGAAGGGAGTTCCACCTCAGGGCATAGTGGCTGAAGGTACGGCCACGGAGGGTGGAGTGGAGGACTCGGGGACAAGGAAGAAGCCATACCCGGAGGAAAGAAGGCAACGGGCACTGTTTTGAGGATTTTAGGCTTCAGGGTTTCAGATAAATTCAGCACTAGCAGCAGCCTCGCCCATCTCAATTTCGCCAGTTGAGCATTCAAAAAAAATCGCTTCCCCAAAAAATCTTCCAGTCTAGGCATCTACATAGTTTGCCTATAGCTAGAAAAGCCTCTGCATTTGTGGCATTCTCAGTCAAGTCGGGACTCTTATGTGTCAGACACTTGGCGGAAGGAAAATAAGTGAGAGAGAGAGAGATTAAGGGGGAGAGGAGGGAGAGAGAAAGAGGGGAAGGAAGAAAGTGGGAGGGTGAGAGACGGGAGGGATAAAGAGGGAAGAAGAGTGGTTCAGAAGGATACAAGTTTAAGTGACTGAGAGCAAAGAGAAAGAGTAAGAAAATGGAAAAGTGGGGAACATGAGTGAGTGTAGCAATGGGATATCAATTGGTTCACTAGGTTGGTTCCTGGGATGAGGGGGTTGACCTACGAGGAGTGGTTGAGCAGACATGGCCTATATTCTCTAGATTATAGAAGAATTAGAGGTGATCTTATATAACCTATAAGATTCTTAAGGGTCCTGACAGGGTAGATATTGTGAGACTGTATCCCCTGGTTCTAGAATCTAAAACTAGTGGTCATAGTCTCAGGATTAAAGGTCAGCCTTTTAGAACTGAGTTGAGAAAACATTTCTTCACTCAGAGGGTAGTGAATTTAAGGAATTCTCTACCCCAGAAGGCTGTGGATGCTCAGTCATTGAACATATTCAACACTGAGATCGATAGATTTTTAAAATCTTAAGGGATATGGGGATAGGGCAGAAAAACGGAGTTAGGTTAGAAGATCAGCCATGATCTTATTAAATGGCGGGGCAGGCTCAAGGGGCAGAATGGCCTACTCCTCCTATATCTTACGCTCTTATGTTCTTATATAAGAGTGAGTGTCACACATAGTGAAGATGTAGGGAATATAATATAATAATCCTTGCATTTGATATAGCACTTTTCATGTCTTCTAGATATCTCAAAGAACTTCACAGAATATACTGTAAAGTGAATTGACGGTATATTTTGTGGGCGAAACCCAGCAATCAGTTGCGCACAACATTTGTGGATTGAGTGAGCAAATTATTTTTTTCTTGAGGGATTATTATCAGGCCTGTGGAGTAAGGAAACTTGCACAAGGTTGAATAGACAGAGATGCGCAGAATGTGAGTGACTAAGCTGCTGCTTAACCATTGCTCAATGGGAAGAGACATGTTCTGAGCTCCAGACAGAAAGATGGTAGCAATGCATTTCATGCTGAACTGTGCTTCCCCACTGGAAGCTCGCAGGGAGTTCTTGTATCTGCCTAGCAATGGCTCAAACCTGCTCTTGTCAGATGTCAAATGACCAACTAATGACTATCCTTGGGTGGGAGGTAAGCAAGGTCTCCTTGGAGCTGAACTGGATCCAATGTGACATGTTTGGCAAAGGAGCCAGCCCTCTGTGGTGGTCTCAGTGGTCTGCAGTAGTTCAGGGCACTCTGGTGACAGCATTACCAAGCTGGCTCATTGGCAGAAATTGTAAGGGCAGACCAGTCACTGGGGGCAGGGAAATCTCCCACTCGGCTCCTGTTAACTGTGGCAGCCTTTAAGGGTAGGTTAGTCCTATCTGGACAGACAGCACAAAAGCTTGCCAAGCAGTGCTCTCATTGGCAGCTTATGTGGTTTTAAGTGGTTATACTCCAGCAGTACCCCAATGCACATCACGGGGTACCCAAATCTTGTTTTTTGTGAACCTGCGCCTAATACTTTCTGGAATTAGGTAAACAGGATGCGTCCCTCCAGGAAGACAGTACGCATTCCACCACAATAAATATCTGGAATTTCCATGTGTAGCTGGGACGCATGGAATTCTCAGTTTGGTTTGGATACTCTTAAGCATGCTGATGGGTTTCCACATGACCAAAAAGATTTTAAAAATAATATTTGATATACATATTTATTTATATTCAATACCTTTATTTATATCAATTTTTACAAATCCAAAAAACCCAACTGTGGCTTGATTGTTTTTCTGTGCCTATCTGTGTCCAACACAATTTACAATTTTAATTTCAGTCTCTACTTTCCACGGGCCTATCGACATTAAACCTTACTTGGAAACACAGGTGTATGGAGCTACGACAGAACTATTATCAAAGACAGACTTTCCACTGAGATCTTTTGAGCCGAAGGTGCAAATTCCATATGAAGTGCTGCCTGGACAGTGCCCACGCAAGCTAGAGATCGAGAGGTGCCGCTATTTTTTCAAGGATTTTTTTACCTAACATATATTGTTGTCAGTAAACATGTATAATGACTTGATAGCTCATAAAGAAACAAATGTGTAAGTTAATCATAGTGAGTTTTCAGTATATGAGCTTTCATGGTGTTCTGTCGTAGTTGCTCAGAATTTTCCAACAAACTCTTTCCCCAAGGTTGTTCATAGTTAGTTCCAGGTCTGAAATCAGGCTGCCATTTGCCCTTTAATCACAGGTGAATTTGTGATTTATTGGACTCCATTTAAGGACAAAAGGAAAGAATTAAGAACCACAGAAATTGCTACACAGCAGCAGGCAATTCAAACCATTTATTGGTAATGATGGCTGCTCCGCTGGTTGTCACAATCCCTGCTGTTTTCCTGTACCTTCCAATAATCTTTGTCCACATATCTTTTTGATGCACTATTCAAATCTGCTCCTATAAACACACCTGCCAAAATATTCAATGTATCATTCCTAGAAAAACATTCCGCACAAACATGTCCTACAACAATACACTACATAGAACAATCTAGTATTGAGATTGTTCTCAACTGTATTGAGTAGAATTTGTTGTGTGCCCAAAACACAGTCATAAATATAAGATAGACAGTAGCAGATTTAAAGTGAGTTTAGAAGGAACTTCCTTACTCAGAGGATGGTGAGAATGTGGAACTCACTGCAAAACGTTTGGTTGGAGAGTGCATCAATGCATTTAAGAGGAGACTTGATGCATTGAAGAGGTAGCTGGACCTTCACATGAGGGTGAGTGAAATAGAAGGGTGTGGGAGTGAATAAGGAATGATGGAGACTTGTGTGGATTATAAACACTGGTACAGACTGGTTGGGCCAAGTTGCCTATTTCTGTTCTGTACATTCTTTGTAAATCTTTGATGCATAACTAGAGAAAGGGGAATAGAGTTATGGGCTGGGCCAACAGAAAAATGCTGTTGTGGAATCTGCCATAAACAGCGGCCTCTCCTACTAACCCACTAAAACTGTAGTTTCTAGCCCCAGGTCTCGCGCTGTTTACCTGATGTCACTGTGGGCGGAGTGGCTCTGGACATGCATGCATGGTGCGGTGCAAGCAGGAAATGGGCTTCGCTGTTGTGATATTCTGTGTATCTCTGTGTGTTTGTGTATCTCTGTGTGTGTCTGTGTCACTATGTATGTGTGTATGAGTGTCTTCTATATGTAAGTGTATGTATTGGGACATCCTCCTGACGTGAAAGGCGCTATACTAATGTAATCTTGTTGTTGTTGTATGTGTTTATGAGTGTCTGTATCAATGTGTCTGTGTGTGTATCTCACTCTGTACTTATGAGTGTCTGTGTGTGTCTCCTTTATATGTGTTTGTGAGTGTCTCTATGTGAGTGTCTCTCTCTATTTGTTTGTGAGTGTCTCTCTACATGTTTGTGAGTGTCAATGTGAGTTTGTCTATGTTTCTCGTTGTGTGTCTGTTTGTGAGTGTGTCTGTGTTTCTCCTCTGTATGTATGTGTTTCATAGAATAATACAGCACAGAAGGAGGCCATTTGGCTCATCGTGTCTGTGCTGGCTCTTTGAAAAGAGCTATCCAAATCAATCCCGCTTTCTCCCCACAGCCCTGCAAACATGTCCTCCCCAAATAGTTATCCAGTTCTCTCTTAAAAGTTGTTATTGAATCAGATTCCACCACCCTTTCAGGCAATGCATTTCAGATCCGAACAACTCACTGTATGAAAATCTTTCTCCTCACCTCCCCTCTGTTTCTTTTAACAACTATTTTAAATTGGTGTTCCCAGGTTACTGACCCACCCACCAGTGTAGGAAGTTTCTCCTTGTTCACCCTATCAAATCACCTCATAATTTTGAAAACTTCTATTAAGTTTCCTCTTAGCCTTCTCTGCTCCAACAAAAATAATCCTAGCTTCCCTAACCTCTCCTGATAACTGAAGTCCCTCATTCCTGGTACCGTCCTGGTAAATCTACTTTGCACCTTCTCCAATGTCTTGACATTCTTCCTGAAGTGTTCAGAACTGAACACAGTCTCTAGCTGAGGCCTAACCAGTGTTTTGTAAAGGTTCATCATAACGTTTGTGAGTGAGTGTGTCCCTCCTATGTGTGTGTTTATGAGTGTCTCTTTGTGAATGCGTTTGCGTGTCTCTCCTTTGTCTGTGTGTGTATTTCTCTTAGTGTCTATGATTGGGTATGTCTTTTTCTATCTCTCTGAGAATGTCTCTGTCTGAGTATGTGTGTGTTACTCTCTATCTGTGTGTCTGTCTCTCTCTCTCTATGTCTCTGTGCGGTGTTGGGCCCTGAGAGGCAGGAGATTGTGAGCTCCTGTAGCCCCGCAGTCAGGACACGGGTCCTGAGTGTCTGCTTTTGGCGGATCTCCAAGCCCTTTGGGCCTGCGCTGGTTTTGTTTCCCACCCCCCGCGCCCCACCCAAATGGGCCATCCAGTTTTTGTTAAAGAAGAAATGAATTTTCTAATGGCAGGTTATGGGCAGCGGGCTCATGACTAGTGGAGTCCTGTAGCTCAGTGGTTAGAGCACTCGCTTTGCAAGTGAGAGACCTGAGTTCAATTCCAGGCAGGGCGAAACCTTGGGCAAGTTTCCTTACTCCACACGCCTAATAATAATCCCTCCAAAAAAAAAAAAAAAAACAATAATTAAATTGGTCATTTTCAATCTACGACTGTTTGTGGGCATTGCTGTGCGCAATTGGCTGCCGCGTTCGCCCACAAATATACAGTCAATTCACTTTACAGTATGTTCTGTGAAGCGCTTTGGGACGTCCTCCCGACGTGAAAAGCGCTATATCAAATGCAAGGATTATTATTATTATTGAGCTGAATGCCATGATATCTTTCTATGTAATTGTATGTAATGTGTAATTCTCATTGCTGTCTCCAACTGATCTCTAACAGGCGAAGGCGACAGTACCTAAGCCAGAATATCGTTACTCTGCTTACATTCGAGGGAATCAATTCAAACAAGCTTATGCCACGCCACTCTGGACCGGAGAAGTATCGCAGCAAGGGTGGCAAGAATCCGCCCCAATTCACCGTATACCTTCCTTTAGAGGTGCTGTACATATTTCTGATTGTTAAAAAGATGAAAAGAATATTGTGAGACGGTTCTATCATCCAACTCTATCTTTCTGCCTCCACCCTCAACTCCAGGACCACCACTGTCCTGACAGACTGTCTGTCGGACATCAAGTCCTGGATGAGGGCAAATTTCCTTCAGTTGAATGTGAACAAGACTGAGGCCCTCCTGATTGGCTCACACCAGCACCTCAGGCTCTGGCAGCATCAACCTCCATGGTTGCACACTACAACTCACCAGCCAGTCAGGAACCTCGGTGTCTTGCTCGACCCTCAACTGTCTTTTCTCCTCCACATCTAAGCCATGACTCGCTCTGCCTTTCCTCACCTCCGTAACATCGCCCGACTCCGCCACTACCTCAGCCCTCAGGCCGCTGAAACTCGTTCATGCCTTCACCACCTCCAGGCTCGACTATGCAAACGCCCTGCTTGTCGGCCTTCCCAACTCCTCCCTCCACAGGCTGCAGATAATCCAGAACTCTGCAACCCGTGTCCTCTCCTGCACCAAACTCCGTGACCCCATTCTTGCCCGACTCCATTGGCTCCCTGTCCTTCAGAGGATCCTGTTCAAGATCCTGGTCCTCACCTACAAAGCCCTCCATGGCCTCACCCCACCCTACCTCTGCAACCTCCTAACCCCCTACCAACCCACCCGCTCCCTCCGGCCTGCTCCACGTCCCTTGACCCACCTGCCCCAGCATTGGCGGGAGAGCCATCAGTCACTCTGCCCCCAAACTCTGGAATTCCATCCCCCAATCACTCTACCTCACCCCCTCCTTAGCCTCCTTTAAATTTTGCCTCAAAACCCTCTTCTTTGACAATGCCATCGGTCACCCCCCTTCTCCCTCCCTGACCCCAGCTCGGGTCTGAAATGTTGTACTGTCCAACGCCTTGGGACTTCCTCCCGATGTGAAAGGCACTGTACAAATGTAATCTTGTTATATATACATCCACAATATGGCTCGCTCTCCCTTGCAATGTACTGGGTGGCCTCTGTTCAATCCTCACTAATGAATGCAAGTCGCTATAACTATGTGTAACTTGACTAATGAGTTCGTCCATGACGACAGGTACTACCAATTGCTATTTAAATTAAAGCAAATTGGGAAGCTTCAGTTAATCAGAGGTTTATTTTACTACAAAATCTTAGTCACTTGTAATGGAGTTAATGTAAAAGTGCACAAATAACCAATCTCTGACTACTACTCATTAATAGTCAGGCATATACCTTTGTTTTCATCAGGTAGAAAAAATAGCGACCGCGAGCATATGGCACTCGTTCTTTTATGGGCTTTGAGCCCCACCATGAATTAGGGTACCCAATGGTAATTGTATTACTTGATGTAATTGGTACCTTTTTTATAGTCCAATCAGATCTTCCCCTCAGTTGCCCAATAGGGGACCAGTACAATTCCTTAATTTGCATATTGGAATGGTAAATTACCCCCAATCAACGCTGGAGTCAGACTTGAAGGCACCAAAAGTATCAAAAACATTCAATACACAAAAAAAGTATTTAAAACACTACTTAATATATTTAAACAGACAGTCAGGCATAGAAAACAAAAGGGTTGACTGTGACATATCCCCCTGTCGATAATGAAAATGCTTCAAAAAGCGAAATTGTTATCAAAGTGCTTGGAGATAGAATGTCAGCATAAAAGTACCTCTCTCCTTCTTCACTAAGTGCTGGCTATCTTCCTGCTCGAGGTAGCTGATATGGTCTAGCTCCCTGACTGGTCACCAGAAAAGAAGATCTCGTACAGTAATGTGTTAGAATGAAACTGTTCTACACTTGAGGTACCCAGTCATTGTCAATCTTGCGCAGTTTGAGTGAAATTAGATGCAGAGTGAATCTTGTTATGCTCTGCCCAACCAAGCAACTATCCCTATCCTCAGAAGGATACCCTTTATTGCATGGCCCATTTTAGGACTTAAGTTTAGACTGACAATCCAACTGGCAGTCCATCTCTATCATTGTGCCTCTACTCTTGGTTCCAGGACCACTGGTGTTCTGACGATGCTTGTCAGATTTGAAGTCCTGGATGAGTTCTAAAGACTGAGGCTCTCTTGCTCGTCTCCTGCCTTCTTATTTCAAGTACTGGACCTCTGTGGATGCTCACTCCACCTTACAAAATCTTGGTGCCTTGTTTGACCAAAAACTGCCCTTTATGCCCTACATCTGGGCTCTTGCTTGCTCAGCCTTCAAGCCATGCCCAATCTCATGAGCAAGCTTTCAGCTGATAGTTTGTTTCACATACCTATAAGGGCTTTGGCTTGCAGAGTTAAGAGTTGCTAAGTGGGACGAATCTCTTTTCCCCAATCCCTGGTTTACTGCTCCTGCCGATGAGGCAGGAAGGGGGGCTGTCATCAGCACCGACTAACTCAGCAACTGGACTACTGAGACTGCCACAGAGAATTGACTTGTTTTCAACATTCTGCGTTTGACAGTGGCGGAGTACGACACCGAGCCGGGGGGAGGGGGAGGTGACCGTAGGTACAGTTGAATAGGAAGGTCTTCAGGTGTGACCTGAAGATGGTTAAAGAAGGGGCAAGGCGGAGTGATAGAGGAAGAGTGTTCCAGAGTTTCGGGGTATTGTGGCTGAAAGCGCAGCCGCCATTGGTGGAACAGAGGGCATGAGGGGCATGCAGAAGGCCAAGAGCCAGTCGAGCGCAGGAAGTGGGGTTGTAGGTTGAGGGGTAAGCAGGTCGGAGATGTAGGAAGGTACCAGGACATGAAGGGATTTGAAAACAAGTGTGAGGATCTTGAAATCGATCCGTTTGGTGATAGGGAGCTAGTGGAGCCTGGCTAGAACTGGTGTGATTGAGCTACGGAATTTAATACGGGTGAGTACGCGGGCGGTGGAGTTTTGGATCAGTTGAATCAGGTGTATAGTGGAACTTGGGGAGACCGGCAAAGAGGGCATTTAAGAGGTCGTGTTGGGAGGTGACGAACGCTTGGACGAGTGTTTTGGCTAGGTCTAGTTCAGTCAGAGGGAGGCAGATAATGTGGCGGAGGTAGAGGAAGGGAGTCCTGGTCAGGGACCGGATGTGGGGCAGGAAGGACAATTGTGGGTTGAACCGGACGCCTATGTTGCGCACACTGGTTCGTTAATTCTGAGGGATAGACCAGGGAAGTTGAGGAGGTTAACTTCCTTCCCCATCTTCAGGTTGTGCCTGAAGACCTTCCTATTCGACCGTGCCTACAGTCACCTCCCCCTCTCCCTGGCTCGGTGCTGTGCTCCGCCACTGTCAAGCGCTCTGGATGCTACCCTGCATGAGCGGCGCTATTTAAATGCAGGGTGTTTCTTCTTGTCAGAGCCGCAATTTAGAAGAAGTTGACGGGAGTCAATAAGTATGGCTTCCATCTTGTGAAGATTTAGATGTAGGAAGTTTTCGCTCATCCAGGCCGTTATCGGCCAGGCAAGCCGAGAGAATATGGCGGAACTGGAGTCACCCAGTAGGAACTGTTTGTTAGTCGATTGGCGGATTGCTTTTCTGGGGCTAATAATTCCTTCCAAAAAATTAATAATAAATTGGTCACTTCAAATCACAACTGTTTGTGGGACATTGCTGTGCGCAATTGGCTGCTGTGTTTTGCCCACAAAATATATAGTCAATTCACTTTACTGTATATTTTAAGACGTCTCAAAGACATGATAAGGTGCTATATCAAATTCAAGTATTATCATTGTTATTTATTCCTGGTAAGCAACACAGCATGAATGAGTGAGAGCATTGGCACCATCTTTCTGCCTACAGTTCGGGCACATGCCCTTCCCATTGAAAGATGATTCCACTGTTATAGGTGTGGAGCTTAAGCAGCAGCTGCTTACCTCTCTGCAAATCAAATGGATTCCTAGGCAGGCAGTGATTTATATGTGAGTGTGAGGATCTTGAAATTGATTTGTTCTGGAAAAGGTAGCCAGTGGAGCTTAGCAAAGAGATAATGGGAGTATGGAGTTTAATACGGGTGAGGATACCGGCATGAAGTTTTGATTTAATTGGATTTTATGAATGGTGGAGCTGGAAAGACTGGAGACAAGCATATTGGAAATATTTAGGGAGATAATGAAACCATGAATATCGGTTTCAGCTGCATGGGGTGAGATGTATGGTTGGAGGTGGGCAACGTGGCAGAGGTGGAGGAAAGCATTCTGGTTAGGATGTGGGGTAGGAAGGACAGCTGGAGATCGAACCTGACGCTAGGTTCTGCACAGTTTCAGTAAGTCTGAGGGATAGGTCCGAGAGGTTAAGAAGATTGTAACCGCAGGTGAAAAGACATGGACGAGAGCCAAGGAGTATTGTTTCCATCTTGTTAACATTCAGTTGCAGAAAGTTGGCGTACATCCAGGCTTTGATGTCGGACAAGAAAGCGGACAGAGCATCGGTGGACCTGGGTTCGCAGCTAGAGGAGGAAAAGTAAATTTGAGTGTCAACAGCATATATGTAGTAGCAAACAATGAGGAGGATAGTAGCAGACTGTAAGAGGACATAGACAGACTGGTAACATGGGCAGACACTTGGCAGATGAATGTTTAGTTTGGAAAAATGCATAGTGATGGAGTCCTGTAGCTCAGTGGTTAGAGCACTCGCTTTGCAAGTGAGAGACCTGAGTTCAATTCCAGGCAGAGGGCGAAACCTTGGGCAAGTTTCCTTACTCCACACGCCTAATAATAATCCCTCCAAAACCAAAAACAATAATAAATTGGTCATTTTCAATCTACGATTGTTTGTGGGACATTGCTGTGCGCAATTGGCTGTCGCGTTCGCCCACAAATATACAGTCAATTCACTTTACAGTGTGTTTGGGAAGCGCTTTGGGACGTCCTCCCGACGTGAAAAGCGCTATATCAAATGCAAGGATTATTATTATTATTATTTTGGGAGGAAGAATGAGGACAGGCAATAAAAGCTGATGGTAGAATCTTAAAAGGGGATGAAGGAACAGAGACCTGGGATTCATATAAGTAAATC